CCAATGACGTAACTTGGGAGGCTTGGGGCTGTCAAACTACTTTTGTTGTTTTGTTGTATTACATGTATATCAAGCCAGGGGCTTACTTTGTGTAGAGTTAGTACTCTCTTTTTGTAACCAAGTGTTGACTTGGAAAGTTGTAAACCTATAGGGCATTTACTTTTGTTGTCAGCATGTAATACATTTTGTAAGAATACTCTGATGATTGTAATATGAAATCTTTTCTATTTATCATGAATGTACGTTATGATGGGTTTGTTTTTGAGGGCGTTACACATAGTGTCAATAGCATTGATATTATTCCGATTACCAAAAACACTAGGACTCTCATTTGTAGGAATAGCGTACGAATGCACTATCGGTAACCTCTCATTTGCCTGAATTACAGGCACCTCATGCATGTTAGAACCATTGATGGCCAAGGTAAAGAATGACATGATTACACAGAAAGTAAACAAACTTTTTTCTCTAAGAACATTTGAAGATTTCATATCACTGCATATCATTTATATCACTTTCTATACACTCCACCGATTCAATAATCAATGCATATCCACTCAAATCTTTTGTTTGTCAACATTTTAGGTGCTGCTGCACCATTTTTTGGAGATGATATAAAATTCCAAAAATGATCACAGGACGAAACAAGAACAAATATTATATTTTTGTCAAATCATATTTTTTTCTTCAATATGTTTGTATAATTTTTTTTGTTTTTGGCATTGAAAAATATTTTAATTATTTTAATTATTTTCTATATTAATATTTTATTTTGATGATGTCCTAGGAGGAGAAAAATATGAATTTGAATGGCTGGCTGTACATGTTGCAATTTTGCAAATTTATCAAATATTTTGTTGATTTTACTTTTGTATCAAATCCATACATATATTGTCATCATAAAAAAGAGGGAGATTGTTAATCATGTTGTTTGATTTTGATGATGTTATGGGATAAATTGTAATTTTTTACTATATATATTTTATATTATTTGATACAAACTATTATCTGTTTAAAATATATATTGTATGATAAAAATATTTTTAAATTTTTACTATTCACGTTTTGAAAAACTAGGCAGATCACTATTCATCTTTTGACAAATTTGATGGGTTATTTTCCTTTGACAAAATTGATATACTCACATGGGGTGGTAGGTTGTTTTTTAAAAAATATGTTTAAAATATCGTCAACAACTACAAAGATTATAAAAGAGGTATATATTTTCATAACTATTATAAATGTTATTTTAAATATACTTAAAGAAATTATATTGTGCAATTAAATATTTTATTAGAAAAATTACTATGCAATTACTATACAACTTTTGATTATTCATTGTTTTGAAGGAAAAATTAAGTACTATTCATTTGTTGAAAAGTTGTATACACAATAGTGATCACTTATATTTTTAATGTTTTGTTAGCCACATGCTTGGCACCTGGCATAGAAAAGAAAAAGGAAATGTTTACATTATGCTTCATGCAAATTTTAAATATAAAGAAGAACAATCTTATGCCCTACATGCCCAAATTACTAAGTCAAAAAGGAGAAGCGTGCCCACGTGATCCATGACATCAACAAGGAGCGTTCTACCTCCAACGGGTATATTTTTGTATATAAATAGAAGTGTTTTGTGTAAAGAAAAATCAAGAACTTGAAGAGAAAAAATTCGGTGTGCTTCAAAACTGTGATTATATTTTTCACTATGCTATTTCACTTTCAGATCTAAGAATTTTGTAATAGTGAGATATTTATTGTTGAGCGAGGCTTAATAGATAAAAGTTGACATGTGCAAAATCCACAAGCTTGGTGAAACCTTGGTGGTGTACTGATTTATTTTGATAGTGAACAAATTCTCAAAGAGGTTCATTGGGGAGTGGACGTAGGCCCGACGGGCCGAACCACTATAAATCTCAGTATTTTATTTTCTTTCTCTATCTCTCTTACTTTTATATTGATAATTATTGTTTTGTTTTTTATTTGTTAAAATTATGAATATTGTTTTTATTATTTTTAATATTGTAAAATTTTTTGATAACCCAATTCACCTCCTCTTGGGTTGCCTACTTGGAATAACAATACTCAATCTCCATGTCAGTGGCACTTTTCTTTCCCAGCCTAATCTCCTCTTTTTTCTTGTCCTTAGCCATTGGAGTCATTTTCAAGCAATGTTCGGGATGACCTAAATAAGTGTATTTTTTGTCTTTTTACGAAAAGATGTGCAGAAAAGTAGAAAGGTGATGTGATGGAAAAAAGATAAAAAGATAAAAATATGGATTATTTTTGGATTGCCAAACTTGGCCTCAGTTTTCCTCTCATATAGTCTTGGGCGGTGTTTGAAGCCTGCCTCCAAATAGGCCTTCCTCTACCTATTTGGGCTTTGTAGCTTGTAACTGGCTCACCTTCTTTAGTAAGGGCTTTAACTACTTGTTCTGGTGCATATTGTTCCCTTTTGGTATTGTTAGGCCTCTTGGCTGCCTTTTTAGTTTAGATAGTCATCCACGACCCATACTTCTCTTGGTTAGGCTCGCTATCTTGTTCTATTGATGTTGGTCTTGGTTCATCTCTCATTTGGGCTTTTTGCCCTTGGTTTCCTTCTCCGATCATCCCTTGCCCATGTGTTCTGACTTCCAGCATAGTTCTTTCATTGCAAATCCCCCTCCAGTGCCCAACCCTGCCACAAGAAAAGCAAAATGAGTACAGGTGTTCATATGCAACTCCGTAAGTATGTTTACCTATAGAAATTTAGGAAATCAATGGCTTTCAGAGGTCCATTTCCACACAAACTTGAGCATATTTTCCTCGTGCTACCATCGTTGTGTTGATATCTACCTTCAGAGGAACTCCTAGCACTTTTGTTATATGGAAGAGGGCTTTCTTGTTGTAATACTCAATGGGTAAGGTAGGAAACCTTATCCATATCGCTATGGTATCCTCTTCGGCTTCATTTGACTTGAAATCATGTTGCCATTTTGTCATTGTCACATAGTGATCCATCACTATCCATGGGCCTTCAGTGAAGACTTTGGTATAATCATCCATCAAGTCAAACTTGACTATAAAGAAACCATTCCCTATATCCAAAGCTTCGAAATCAGCTTGAAGTCTCCAAATCTTAATCATTTTTATCCTAAAAAGCTTGTAGCTTATGGTTTTCTCCAATAATCTCACAATCAAACATTTTTTCCATGGCTTCCTAATCTTCTTCAATAAAGTTGCTGGTAGTTTAACCCTAGGGATCCCATCCCTCTCCTCCTCTATCTCCTTATCCTCTTTCTCAAAGGCCTTCGTCGTGTCTGTGTCTTTATCATCAGACGATAACACCTCCATATCATTATCAAAAATTTTCTCATAACCATTCTCATTGAATCTCAATCTTAAGAGTGCTTCCTTGAAAGACTGTGAAGCTTTTAAAGCCCCAATAGGCTCCATTTGGTCAGCCTCTGATTTCCCTTCATTAGGAGGGGATTTCTCCTGATTCGTGATGTCAATCATTTGATTAGGGTTGGGTAACTCCTCCCCTGATTCCTTATCCATTGGTGCACTTTCTCCCATGGCTTCATCCTCAGGATCCACGTTACTCTTGATTTTCTTGGTAATACGGATCCGGTGGTCCTCTTCCATTGAGCACCCATGAACGTTTTTCAGTTCTCCATCCTTCAAAGCCTATCAGTGTGTTTAGTTTGAGTTTTTTAAATTAAATTTTTTAAAAATTGAGTTTTTTGATTTTCGTGTTTTTTTGTTTTTAGTTAATATTTTTAAAATTTTAAATATTTTTTTTACTTTTTTAGATACACCTTACTTAGATGTATCTAAAAAGTAAAAATTTGTGAAAAAATATTTTTAAAAATTAATAAATACATTAAAATACAAAAAATGTACTGAATTCTCGTTTTTTTTTTTTTGTATTTTTGGTATTTAGTGAATTTTTAAAAGGTTTTTTTCAATTTTTTTTTACTTTTTAGGTATATTTATTTAGGTATGTTTAAAAATTAAAAAAATTGCTTAAAATATTTTAAAAATTCAATAAAAACAAAAAAACACGAAAAATAAAAAAATAAAATTTTTTGAAAAATATTTTTAAAAAATAATAACCAAGCTTAGTGAGATATTCTAGAGAGAGAAACTTCACTCACTATTTTACCGACTCTTTCAATGTCTTTATTGTGGGTGGTAAATTCAAAAGAATTTACATGTGTTTGTAGTGAGAAACACGCTACTCTTTTTGGTTTTGAGTTTTTAATCTCTATGGCTTTTTTCTTTTTCTTTTTTTAATGATTAATTATATTAAAAAAATTTAATATCAATTTTTTTTTTGTTTACTTTCTAGATCTACTTAATCAAAATACGCTTAATATATACAAAAATATATGAAAATGTATTTTTATATATTTGTTATATTTTTTGATTTTTTTTTATAAAAAAATTCTCAAATTTTATACTTTTTAAGTATATATTTAAATTAGTGAATCTAAAGAACAAATTGAATGAAAATTTAAAACATTCATTAAAAATAAAAAAATATTGATTAAAAATTTAAACACTGTTTTTCGAAAATTCCAGACTAAATAAAATTTTCAGAGTTCATTGCCCTCCAGAGAAGCTAGTGGCGATTGGGAGGAGTTTGAGAAAAAAAGAATAGTTGCAACTCTCCTAGTCAGTCTTCTTCTTTGTCCTCCATTAGATGCCCTATCTATAGGTTTCCAAAATATATTTTATCCACAAGAAAGAGAGAGAGAGAGAGAGAGAGAGAGAGACATTATGCGATTGCTGTGGCCATTTGTGAATGAGTGAAGCTTTCCATCTGTTGCAGAAAGCACAGGGCAAGATTGATTGAGCTCTTAGAAATAAGTCATTAAGAATGAAATTAAGATAGAATGAGACTAATAGAGCATTTGGGGTTAAAATTTATTGATCAAGAACATATAAGTGAGAATAATATAAGCTGAAGCTAAATAGCAGTATGCCACATCACAGCATAAATATCAAGAACACCATGAAAATGAACTGTCCAGACGACTTCAATATCAAAGTTCATACCATAATTCCCTTTTGCAAGGAAAACAAAACGCTCATCAATCTATCAAAAGTAGGTCCTCTCCAATTCTCCCGCTATTGCACGGGCATGTGTGAGAAAGAGAGCAAAAAATGGGCTTGTTAATTTACTTATAAAGACAATAATGAAACCGCTTTCGTCTAGTACTCACAAAGACAATAATGAAACCCCTTACATCTGGTGAACAACTAATCAAAAAAATCGATTCCCCCTACTGCTACAACAACAATAAAACAATTGGGTGTCAGCCCTAGAAGTGGAACACAGAGCTCCAGTCTCACTCGTTGTCCTCATTTCACTGACAAATTACTTAACAATCAAAAAATCCGGGACCTGCCCGTGAAAGGAGTTCCTTGCCAGCATCCTTTCCCATTAGAACCATATCTTCATAAGCATATGGGCCTTGTCTAGAAGTTTCAAGTACTGGGGAAAAAAAAAATCAATGTTAAATATGGTAGGTTTTCAGGAAAAGATGCTAATAACAACTTGGTAAATATATCTTGCTCAAGTGACTACTGTTTTACCTCGGGTTCCATCTGGTGAGGCCACCAAGCCTTTGAAAATGCAATTTCCATCCTCATCTCGACAAGCATATCCAGCAATTGGAGTGCGACAAGAGCCATCCAATGCCTCAAGGAAAGCCCTCTCACATGCAACTGCTAATCTTGTTTCCTCGTGATTCAATGAAGCTATGTAATTAGCCTGCATGAAAAGATCAGCATCAGAAAAGAAACTAAAAAATTTCAGAAGATTTGCAAAGAACAAGAAAACAAGTACTGAAAACAAACTAACAAATAAATAGATGGTAACAAGTAGATAAATCAAATGCCCTTCAAGGAATGTTGTGGCAGACATATCTAAAATCTTCAGAAAAGCAGAGACAGTAATGCACGGTCATATCGGTTCATAGTCGAGCATGCAACATCCAAGCACCCCATATATTATTAAAACAAGCATTGATGACTTTGACAAATTTAACCAAAGGTATTTATCATGGGCAATAGAGAATTACACTGCATCAGATTATAAAATCAGATCAGCTGAGGTTTTCAGTTTTTTGTCACACAAGGATAGTGGGTTTCCTAGTAAACAATTCTTCAAAGATTAAGTTTTCATGTTTCATGTGAGATTATGTAGATGAAGAAATGACAACAAACTACGTAGATTGTTAAAAATTGCAGCTCATAAACTGCCACAAGTTCTCAAGAGTTCTAGCATCACTATGATACAAAACCTGCAGATTAAGGAAAGTTGAATGCAAAAGTTTGGTCAGCGGAAATATACCATCTTATCATCATTGCTTCGACAAGCAATTCCAATTGCCCCTTGTGCAACAGCTGGAAGCATATCATCCATAGAAAGAATGGCGGTCACATTTTCAGTCATATTTAGGCGTTTGAGTCCTGCTAAGGCCAATAATGTTGCTTGGACCACTCCGTCATTTAGTTTTCTTAATCGTGTCTGAACATTACCACGGAAGTTCTCCAGTACCTACAGATAAAACCACCAAATATATGAAAGAGGGATATAACACAGACAGTGATCAAAACACCAATAAAACACCCAAAATGAATTAAGTACGCAAATGCAACACACGCAAAAGGGTTAAAAGAGGCATGTTAAAAAGAAGCCAGCTCAGATTAACATCAGTGACAGATCTAAAGCTTTAAGCAAGTATTATATGCCTGCCTCAGCAAATTGGGTAACTCGTTGAATCCTCCAACAATAAGTAAAATCTTGATTTGTGAAGCCTGTTACTCCAATAGCTGAAACGAAATCACATCAAGTCCTTTCTTGTTTGAAATCAAGGATTGTAACCTCTAACAGAATTTTCCAGAAAATAACAACTGCAACATATTTTTATACAATTTAGAGCTTGTGGAATTACCAATTCGCAAAGTTATAGGAATTAAATTATGTTACCAACCAAGCCAGGAGTCACATGATTCTATTTTGGATGAGGTGTCAGCATGCTACAAATTCCATACTTATTTGTTGGCACTAGCAGTATGACTATTGTAATTTCTGGTTCCATCAAACTTGGAAACCAATTAAGCTTACTAACATTATGCTACTTGGAAACTGATAAATTATATGCATATATATGTATACATGTATATTCAACTGGATCCAACATGATACGATCCCATGGTATCTGAAACCCATGCTGCAAGAAGACTGACAGAGAATTCACCCCTGTATGGACACATCATTTTGGTCTGTTTATACCATCTTCTCTTCCTCAAAAAAAGAAAAAGAAGAGACCATCTCTTCCCGATTTGATAATTTATAATCAGATTCTAGTAAAATTAAGTTGTCACATTTAAGATAATATACTCACATTGAGTGATGGATATCTATGGAGAATTTGTGACTTTCTTCTTAGTGAAGCAGTTCCCACGGTGCTTCCAGCTGGAAGCTCTGCTAGCGAAGCTGTACTTAAGGAAATAAATGCATCCCGAACATCCTCACGTGGAAGATTGCAAGGCAAAATTGTCTTATCTGGTAAATAAGTAGGAACATCTTTCATTGAATGGACAGCAATGTCGATTTCAGCATTTATGAGGGCCTCATCTATTTCTTTTGTAAACAAGCCTTTCCCACCTATATCAGCAAGTGGCTGACTTAAAATTTTATCTCCTGTTGTCTTTATTATTACAATTTGAATAGCGCCCTCTTCAGCCAACTCTGAATGTGTAGCCATGAGTTTGTCTCGTGTCTCATATGCCTGAGCAAGTGCTAGTGGGCTGTCCTAGACAAGGAATAAATACAGATAACTCATATGTGAGCAGATATATCACCAAAATATCCTGCTTAAGAAATGGAGTTTTCCTCTGCAGTTAGTCAATTATACGAATTGTGGAATTTGAAAGGCCTAAAAACGTATTACACTAGTGATTGCTAATATTCTCCAAAAGATGTTACACAAATATAGTTTAAGGGGCTAGTTGCATGCTACAGAGAAAGTCATAGCTCTATCAGTTATACTGTACATAATTACAGCAGCAGTTGCATGCATTCATTCATATTTCTTTACATAACATCTAATGCTTTTTATTAGTTAATTTCTTCATAATTATTTATAAATACTATGTTAGAAGGGTGCAAACACAAGTAATATTATCTGCCAGCATCCTGGGATAGGTGAATTCTTATAGATCCATCCCTGCATAGAAGATAGAGAGTGGGGTGTGGTTACCGGTAAAGACGAGACTTTTCCCTTGATACACCGCATAATGGCCCTATTGTTCTGATGGAGAGAACAATCTATGATTAGCTTTTCGGGAAATTTCCAGCCATGCATCCTCAATACAATGGGAGGAAGAAAAAAGAACCCAACACAATCTTACCATGAACAACATGTCAGCATATGCAAACCTCCATCATCACACTTCTGTTCCATCATTATTTCTGAGTGCAGCCACAGTTTGATAATTTACCAGTAATGAACACAATGACGTTTTAGATTCATTTTGTTAAAAATAGATCAGAAAAAGGTGCCAAGAGGGGACACAACCCATGAACACATGTATAAAAAGCCAATTTTACCCCCATGAGGAAAAAAAACTATATACCAAAAGAATTCATTACAAAATCCATAAAACCCGCAAGAGATGAGTTCACCCTCCCAGTCACCCAATGAAGTAAGAAGGCCAAGACATTACTCTTTAACCTATGGATGATCTCCACTCCTTCAGATGATTGACAATTCCTATCCATCCAAATATACTACGTGAAACACAGGATCGAAAGCCTGTGTGTCTATCTCTGATTCTGCCCATGCTAAAAGCTACTTACTGATATAGGAATTGCCCAAACAATGCTAAAAAATGTCAACAGAAAGGCCCAAATCTCCACTGTCACTCTGCATAATGGAGTAACATGGACAAAAAGGCCTAAATCAAAGGAGATCCAAGTCATGGTATTTTTTAAACTGGTTTCCTATCATTCTTATTTCTTTTTTTTTCAGAGGAGACCCAGCTGCCCCAAGAGCTTAATGGGCGCAAAAATGCACCAAGCTCTCAAATAGAAAAATAATGTATGCCCCCTCCTTTGACAGAGTTTGGAGCCTGACCTGACCTGCAACCAAGGACAGATCAAATCCTCATGACCTGACCTGCAGAGTTTGGAGCCTGACCTGACCTGCAACTAAGGACAGATCAAATCCTCATGACCCGTGCTCTGGTCTTGTAGGATGGATCTCAATGATTCTAGCTGCATTTAGGCATCTAATAGTACATTGTTAACTTTCTTCGAACCTCTGCTCCTCAATCATTTTCACACCAGTGATAATGCTCTTCTTTACAGCCTTTTGATCATGATGCATCATGAAAGGGCCAATACACGATAGGACTGAGCCAGCTGAAGGAAGGGCGCTAACCAATATAATTTGAGTACGCATTAAGGTAATTTGTACGCATTTTCTTTTGTTTCATGTCCAACTTCCAGAAATCAGAGCAGTGATGTTGTCACTATCCTTCAATTACAAATTTTCCAAATGAACACATCATGTGCTGGGAGAGTGGGAATATAACAGGGTCACAGTACAAATACATACGAATTTCATTCTCCCAAAGCTCAAAATCCGGAATATATTGTCTCCATTCAAATGACACCTAACTAAATCAAATTAAGTCCTTGTGCGCCAATCAAATGGGGTCAATTACATGAATCTCTATTTGCTCAGTGAATTTATATCCTTTTGAAGCCTGTGAAACCTAAAAATTGACCATAAAATTCTCAATCTATCATCAACTCTATTGAAGCATGTATAAACCATTTGTTTTTCAATTAGATCCGTAAGTAAGTGCAAAGAGTGAAAACAAGATTATAGATCTAGATGCAAGTCATAAAAAAATAATAATAAAAAAAAAATTAAAAAACCTAATTACAATCCAATCAGAAACAATGAGCAGTGAATGCTTGCTAGAATTGAGAATTAAAATCATTTGCGGAAAAGGAAAGATTATTACCTTCCTCTGGTGCCGATTCGTATGAGAGCGACCTTGGTCTGAGTCTCCTGTTCGACGGCGACGGAGGCCCTTGTGACCATGAGTTTGCGGCGGCGGTTGGCGGCCGGAGACGGAAGAGAGAAGCCGAGAGGCGAGACTGAGCAAGTGCTGAGATTGCCACTCAGAGTTCCAATATTTGCAGGAAATAGAGATTGATTCAGAGAAACCATGGTTTCCATTTGAGAGAGAGAGAGAGAGAGAGGGGAGATGGGGCTTTGGTGAAAGAGTGAAGCCCATAGCTTTTGACCAGTTCGTTCGTTGCCCCTTCCAACTTATCCTCCACGTCATACAGAAATCGTGCCAGCTCAGCACACAAAATTTGAAATTTTGGCCTGCTTTGTGTTTCTTAAAAAATTTTGAAAAAAATTCTCTACAAATAAGTTCTCAAAAGTAATCAAACCAAACTATTTTTTCCAAAAAAATTTTTTAAAACTTGTTTGGTTTACAAATTTTCCAAACAAATCTCTCTTTCATACATATCAAATCAATCACTTTTTCCAAAACTCTCTCTCAAAAATTTTTCAAAACATCTTTTATAAAAAAATCAAACCAAACAAATTTTCGTATTTTTTATCTCAAAACATGTTTCTCAAATACAAACGGCCTTTGTTTTTCAGTACATAAATAAATAGATTATAAGGTGGGCTTGTCTCCTGTCTGGGAGGTTACTTTTGGGCCTCGTGGGCTTATCATGGACTCGTTTCATCCCTCTTAAGTTTTTTATAATAATTAATATTTTTGTTTCAGTATAATAATTAAATTAGGATGAGACTTGTCTCTGGTCTATGAGGGCGTTGTTGGGTCTTGTGGGGCCTATTATAGGTTTAATTTGATGATCTAAACTGTTTATTTTATTAAATTTTATATGTAGATCATCCATAGAACTTTAAACAAAATATTTGTCCAAAATAATATGACAGGAGGTTTGAATCTTAATATTTTGTTTGGCAGCATGATATGAAATTTGGAGAGGAATTTTCTGGTGACAAGCTTAGGTTTTGCGTGAGCTGCAACCCAATATTGCAGTATGGAGAAGCACAATATCCCAATGCCCAAATTAATTTAGATCTTGGGCCCAGTTAGACCACCTCAATCTGCTCTATATTTGACCAAAATATAGCCCAATGTTTTTAGGCCGGAATCAATCTAAAGACATCTTAAGTATGATATAGGTCGAAAAAGCCCAAAGTTGTTTAGGCCCATTTATCTGGGTTTACAAGGCGTATGTTACGCTGAAGAACTGTGCAGGAGTTGAGTTGGTGAGAGTCATACGAGACCAACAATACTCTATGGGCTTGTGAAAAGTAGATATTACCTATTAGGCCCAAAGCCAAACCTAAGCTGGCGCAAATATGCTGCCCTGGTATGTAAAGAACACTTAAAAACAATAACAATTGTGTTGTGTCCCCCAATAACTCATAGAAATGAGAGAGTTGTTTATGAAGTGGTTATTTTAATTAATTTTTTAATTTTTTATAAAAAAGACGTAGAAGTAGGTGTTATGTTTAAACAAATTCCAAACTCTCAGTTTTAAATACTAAAAAAAAATGATTAGTTAATGACTATTTTTACGTTACGTTTGGATTGTGAATAGGAATTTGAAAAATAAAAAGAAATTGAGAAAAAATATTAACTTACATTTTATTTATATTTTTCACTTTTTAATTTTTATCTAAATTCGTCATCCAAACATAAGCATACCATTAAATTTCCATTAGAGTACATACAATAAAGAATATACAATTATATTAAATTTTATTAACCAATCTCTTAGCCAAACCATAGTTATATTTTTTATGAAAATTTTATTAATTAATTTACTTAGGACAGTTGTTAAAAAAATTCATATATAGCATTATTAACCCTGTTTGGTAGAGCTGTGTGAAAGTGCTTATAGCTTATGCTTAAACAGTTTATAGCTTATAACTATAAACATAAGCTGATTTCTGACATATTCTTAAAGCATCTCCTGCCCCACTCAATGAATAAGCTGATTTCTGACTTCCAAAAAGTTATAAGTTATAAGCTAAACCAAACACATCAAAATAACTTAAATTAAGCTGAAAACTGAAATAAACTGATGATAATTTCTGCCAAAAAGGCACATTATAGGATTAGTGATTAAACTCAAGGTAACATGAAACTTTGTCAGCCCTACCTAAACATTAATTGCACCATTTTACACGCCGACAAACACTGAAAATTAAAAAAAAAAAAATAGAATGTTATCAATGCATGCATATCTATTATATTATAAAAAATATATAATGTATGAAACTTTCTCATTTTTCTTCTTTTTCTTTAAAAAATGTCCATTTTGTTTGATGTTTTTCAATAAATAACTGTTAATAATTTTTAAATTCAAACTCATTTTTTCATGCATCAAACCATTAAAAAAATTTAAATGTAAAATTAATATCATATCATAGTTATATATAACTATAGTAAGGCCATCATTGAAGAGAGAGAATGTGTGATATGAATCTATTGTGTTTCGTTTTAGTTTTGGCTTTAGTTTTTTGAATTTATTTTTTTTAAAATTATTTTTTTTTTCATATTTTCTTTGCTTTTAGTGAGTATTTTTTATTTTATTTTTAGTGTATATTTTTAAAATTTTAAATACTTTTTTTACTTTTTTAAATGTACCTTACTTAGATGTATCTAAATAGTAAAATATTTGTGAAGAAATATTTTAAAATTTTAATAAATATACAAAAACATATTAAAAAAAATATACTAAATTTTTTGTATTTTTTATATTTTTTGATATTTAGTGTATTTTTTAAAGATTTTTTTTATAAATATTATATTTTTTAAGTATATTTATATCAAGTATATCTAAAAATTAAAAAAACATTAAAAATATTTAAAAAATTCATTAAAAATATTAAAATATAAAAAAAATACAAAAAATAAAACTTTTTAAAAAATTAGAACCAAACAAGCTTAAAATCCCTGCAGAAGAGAGACAGAGAGGGCCCCAAAAAGTCCGTGAATGAGCAGCAATATATTCGAACCTAACGGTCAAATTTGTTGGCAGAGAGATGTACAAAGGCAAAGTCTTTTTTAAAAATTAAAAAAACATTAAAAATATTTTAAAAATTCATTAAAAATATTAAAATATAAAAAAAATACAAAAAATAAAACTTTTTAAAAAATTAGAACCAAACAAGCTTAAAATCCCTGCAGAAGAGAGACAGAGAGGGCCCCAAAAAGTCCGTGAATGAGCAGCAATATATTCGAACCTAACGGTCAAATTTGTTGGCAGAGAGATGTACAAAGGCAAAGTCTTTTTAATATTAAAAATGTAGTAGTACTGAACTGAGCACAACAAGTAAGGTATGTTTCCAATACAAGAAATAATGATAGCTCTTACAGCACCCGTATGGAGGACAACATCGCACTGTAAGAGTAAGTTGTCTCAACTACTCACTTTATACTACCCTACTCCTAAAGCAAAGAAGAAAACAGTGAGATAATAATAATAACAATACAGTCCAGAATTTCATTGTGGCTTTGCTGTTGTTGGGAATCCATTCATCATCAACACCACTCATTCTCTTTCTCTCTCTTCTTTTTGTTTTTGGGGAATCTCATTCATCACCCCCACAAAAACATGCATAGTAAAATCACATCTTTCATTTTGTCAGCCTTACACTTCTCTCTCTCTCTCGCTCTCTCTTTACTTACCATATTTGAGTCTGCTTTTGGGTGGTCAAACCACAAGTGGTGAATTTGATTGGATTGAGAGATTATTCAAATTTAACTTGGGTTATATTAAAAATTATCTACATCAATTTGTAATGTATGCTTGTTTATTTTAATTTAATTCAAAGTATATCAAATTAAATTTGGGTATACATAAATTTAATTTTTTTTTTATCATGGAGAATCAATTTTGAGTGAGAAAAATAAGAAGTAAAATTTTGTGATATATATGATATATAATGAATATGATTTAATTTTATCTAACACCCACATCAATTCTCGTCTTAATTAATTATAATTGGTTCATTTTGTTAGAAATGGGGTCATATATAGGGAAAAAAGATTAAAGAAAAAAGCAGCACCAACAAGTCAAGGGTGCTTGAACTGCCCTTAAAAAGGGAGAAGCACAAACACACATGATCTCCTATTTATGTATATTATTACCTTTTGTTGGACAGTATTAAGTGATTATGACAACATGCATTCAACAACAATCCTAACCCTCCAAATAAGTATTCTTTCTTTCTTTTATGATCCAAATGCAATGTGTGTTTTTTTTTTGGTGCCTTTCTTTTACTTTACTTTTCTTTTTCTTTTTTTATCTTCAGATTTCGGTGGTGGGTTAAATTGAAGTATGTGTGGATGATGATGTGGTTGCTTTGATGGGAGCAATAATGCAGTTTGGAAAGATATTGAAAAGTTTCATTGGAGAACTCCACCGTGTACCTTTTTTCTAGTGATGGCTAGAGGAATCTCTTTTCATCCCTCGCATTGCTTCTAATAGGTGGTGTAAATCAACTTGAACACTCCTAAATCAACTTGATCACTCCTAACTTAAAAAAAAAGAAAAAAAGAGAGATTAGTATTAATTTATTGCATAAAATATATAAACCAATCACCATATTTCTTTCAAGTTGAAATTCAACTCAAACAGTGTCAATTTTGGTTAAATTTCAGATTTGCAAATCATAGTTTTTAATAAAATGGTTTTTTTTTTTTAGCACCGATGAATTTTGCCCTTTTTTTTTTAATCTCCTATATAAATTCTCAAGGCATAAAATTTTGTTTAAAAGAAAAACATAGAGTTACGAGTGTATTTATATATATTGATTTTAAAAAAATACAATTAAGAAGTCTTTGAGAAAATACAAAGTCAAAATGTATGATTTTAATATTTTGTCGTGATTTTTTTTCGTGACTTTTTATAAAATTACATCTATTGACTTTTTATAAAATTACATCTATTAACTGATAAGACTCTATATATTTCTTTTTTTTTATATATGTGAAGAGTATTAATTTGACATTTACCTAACCCATGTGAGGGGTTAAGATTTTAAAAAAATGAATGTAATCTGATATGAGAGTATTAAATTAGTAAGTACTAGACGCTGGTACCCAACAACAACAGTAACAAATGATACTACTGAAAATAAGGAGTCCGGATTCTCGGCCGTCCTACCCGGCGGCCGTTTCCGGCAGCCCCCAAAACGACGTCGTTTTGGGGGCTACCGGGTA